ACCTCTCAGAACAAATCACACTTTTGCACATCCATTTTTTTCTGCCCATACCAGATTCAATTCCCTCTTCCAGGTCAAAAGCCATACCTGTTCCTGAAGTAGTGTGATGCCCCACATGTGTGCTTTGGTTCATCTTGGAGCATACCCATTCATTCTGGGCAGTCGCTTTTCACTTGGTTTCAATGTTGTGCTCCTCCACCTTTGCATTGTGGGATTCTGGCTTTGTGTGAAAGGAGGTAAGACTGTATCAGAAGTTAACATTTTCTTACAATGCAAATGTATTTCTGATAGGTACTTACCTTTTCTCACATGCTTCCCACCCCTCCTCCACACTGCTGGTGTTATTCTTTTAGATCCTGCCAATTCTCGAAAGTGTGGATTGAGTGGGAATAGCAGAGGGAGGTAGCTGCACCAGTATAGGTGGTGCAATACAATTAGTAGAGCATAGTCACATGATATGTACTTGTTCAAAAGTGGCGTGGAATTGGAAGGGTATATAGACTGGTGAGCTGAGCATGAAAATTTTTTAGCAATGCACAGAAGGCAAAAAGAAGATCAAGATAGCTTTGTGTAAGAGGAGGTAAGTACCTGTCAGAAATACATTTTCGTGTAAGAAAATATTAACACCCCGAAATCCCATTTAATACTAACACTGTGTTTCATACAAATGAAATTTGAATCAGTAGGGTTCACGGAACAGTCTAGCCATTTCTTAGAGTGTTGTAGGCCTTGGAGTTTTGTCTTCTTACTTCTATCTTCCATGCCTACTACAAAAAATATTCTTTCTGATTTTGGGATGATGGCCTTTCATCATAAAGGATTTTCCTTGAGGCATGGTCAAGGGCATAACTTCAAGTCAGATCTTGCTTCTTAGTTGCATATAACAATACCAGCATCTCCTTTTCTTTCTCTTCCTTGTGACCTGCATCTTCTCACAGATGCCTGTTTCAAGGATTAGGTACTGGATTGAGTAATCATTGTTGTTCCCATTCTTGGTTTCTTTAAAAATCAACAGCTCACATTGTCATGTATAGAGCTTTTTGCTGTATAATGTACCTGTCCTAAGTTACTGCTGTTTTTTTCTTTCATCATCATCATTTTGTGTTTGTTCATACTGACAGCCCCATTGTGGTAGCTAACATTAACAAATTGAGTGATACTTATTTTGGCAGCTTTATTTTGCTATAATTTTTTTATCTATTTGTCTTCATTCTCAATATGTTCACCTTTGAATCTGTTGTGTTCCTTGTGTTATAAACATTTTGGCCTACTTTGGTATTTCAGTTGATTAGCAAACAACTGGATAATTTGAAGATGGATACCTTCTTTACTTTGACCACTTTACTGGGCTCCAGATCCAAATTCTCTGCCAGTGGATACCCTGACTCAATCATGGGAGAACATTTTCCTTTATGCCTACCTACCATGCCATCTTCTCAATCATAATTTGCCCAATTATGCCAACTTTCTCAAGTGGAAACAGTCACAATAAAGTATCATGGAATAATATTCTGTGATAATTTCAAACATCCATTTTTCACAAAAATGTTCAATATTCATAGCTTGATAGCAGATTTGCTGTTCAGTCCTTTAGCCAAGAAGCTGGATTTTCTTTGTTGGTGGGTGGCGGCTATAATGTTAGTCTATTCATGCCGACACTTTCCCTGGCTGACTATCAATTCTGTTGGGCTATCTTCAGGAGTTATTGTGTTAGGCAGATATTTTTTGTTTAATTATCCAACTCCTCATCAAATTGCTTCTTTTTTTTTATTTGTTTACTAAACATGGCTTATCAACTTCTTCCATAGCTGCTACTTTCAGATGCCAAGGAAGCCACCATTGTCTTTTTATATGCATTATTCAGACCTTTTCTGAACATTTTGTGTTCAATGACCCCAAATTGCTTGGCATTGTCGCAAATGGAATTTGATTTGGTATTATGTTTTTGACTTTTATTCCTTCGGATCCCTTAGCAACCTCTTTGCTTGATCATATTTCTTTTATTATTTGCATTGGTCATATGACATTTTGATATCTATGCTTTTTAAGCTTCATATACTTTAAATTCTAGAAAAGGCTTGATCTTGTATCATGATCATGCCTTCTTACTTAAAACTTGTGTTGTTCACCTGTTACGTTACTTGCCATAACTGATTCTGATTCTTGTTCAATAGAATACCTTTTGTGTCCAATCATGGCTATTTGTTGTTATCTCACACATAGTGAATCTTTCAGAATGTCTCGGATAGTTATTTATTCCTTACAATAAATCATGCTATGATTTTGATAATTACATGTATCTTTACAAAATTTTGCAGGTTATTGGTAAACATTACAAGGCTTTCCTACACAAGATATCAGGTTTTAAATTAAGTATTAAGATTTTTTAGTTAAAGATTTTCACATGAAATTTTTATTTCAGAATTCTGACTATCCAACATGCAAAGTAATTTTGATTTTCAGATTAAAAAATACTTTTATGCATCAGAACATTTTCAAATTTCACATACAAAATTTTTATACCCTCCAGGTAATTTTCAATTATCCGATGATTTGGTACCAAACTTATTGACATACATTCATAAAATAGTAGTTCAATAAAGTTTTCAATTTGAGTCTACTAACGTGATGACATGGCCTTTGACCCATGACTATAGGAAGACTGTAGAGATAGGGTTAACAAATGGACTGTTGATCTGTCTTGTTTACCAGGATTTTTCCCATTCATGTTAAAAGTCAATTTTGTGTTATGTTTATGAAAAGTTGCCAGTTGGCAATATCTTTGGCACACAATTTGATGTACCCTTTTAGAGGATATTCTGCAGGCCAAAGTGCAGATGAGTTTGAATACATTCTTAATGTATTATTTACATAAATTTTGCATCTACTGTGATACTTCAACCCAAATTAACTCCCTAGAAGGTGAGTTATTTTCTGTTCCCTGCTTAGTTAACACTTGAGTCCACACCTCTGTAACTCAGGTATTACTTTTAACAATTACAGAGCTTTTGGGGTCACATAATCATTTAATTGAATGTATATAAAAAGTCACTTTGTACTATGAGACTGCATTTGTTGAATGAATTCTTCCAGATTGGACTCTTGCATATTACATATACTTCTGCTATTGTCCTAGACAAAATTCCATGCTCAGTTTTGGTGTTTCAAGAGATGGTAATGTCCTCAAGAAGAATAAAGAGAATATGATGTGGTTACTAGTTAATACTTGGTGATGCCATTCAACCTTTGCATGCACATAATCATGTAGCAATTAAGACATTGAAGATCACTCTCCATATTATGTCTCATAACTCCACCAGTTTGGGGAAAACTTTACTGTTTGATATTTATCTTTCCGTAGATATAGATGTTCCCTTTTCAATATCCTTGAGATTTAGAGCCCATACTCTGGTCTGTCTGAGCTGTTTTTATCTTTCCTGGGTGCTTGTATTGTTGGATGTGGTTGTAGAGGACCATAACCCTATCATGATGGGTCACGTGTCAAAGGCCTTGTCATTGCATTGGTTGACTTGCATTCAAATTTTATTGAACTACTATTTTATGAATTTACGTCAATAAGTTTGGTATCACATTGTAGATTATAATTAACATTTTAGTATTATATGTTAGTTAATTTCTTACTTTAAAAGTAAATATTAAAAAAACACAGCTAAACATCAATTTTTGTGTGTCACGAGTTATGTTGAATGCAGCACTGGTTCATATTAGATGTTTGTGATATCAAAATACAAAGTTTATAGTTTCGTACGAATTAGGAACTCAAACTACCAATATTTACGAGCTAGAATATAAAGTAAGAACCTCTTATCTTTTCTATTTGCTAAGATATCGCTCATGTACTGAATCAAACAAAGTGACCCCCCACCTCTCTGCATTTTTGAAATGGTTCCTTATATACACTTAATTCTATATATAACACGAACAACCAATCAAAAACTCAGAATGTCCCCCTAGTAGTTTTCTCAGCCATTTTGACGTGTTATTGTGTTAATCTCATTCTTTTCACACAAGAGTTCAAACGATAAGGTAAGTCTTTAGTGAGCTCGAAATTTCATATTTTTAGACCAAAATACAGCTTACTTACTACACTTGGTATATTATAGTAGAATTCTATGGTATCTACATAGTAATTTATGATTTTTTTGGTTATTTAAAAATGTATAAAATGTTAAAAAAATATCTTTTCATATCCTCCACGTGGGAAATTTCATAAGGCTTAGCAACCTATGATAAGCAGTAAATGAGTAACAAAGGTTAGTAACTAAGAAGAGAT